TTTTTTTTTTTTCTCTTTTTCTTTCTTTTTTTTGTTTTTCATTTTCCTATTTTTTTTCTTTTTCAGATTTTTTTTCTTTTTCCGTCTTTGTTTGTTTGTTCGTTGTTTCCTTTTCTCCCTCTCTCTCTCTCTCTCTCTCTCTCTTTTCTGCCTTCTACTTTCCGCGTCCCCCGTTCATCCCCGTTCTCGTTTCTCCTCCCGTCGCAACCTCTCCCCGCTCCGACCTTCAGATCGAAGCCGCGGCGCTGCCCCGGGTCCGGCCCTTCCCACCGCCGCCGTCCCCGGGCAGCCCCGGTCAGGAGGGAACAGCCTCGGCCCGGCCCGACCCGTTCGGGTCTGCGGGGCCGCGGGGCCGGGAGGCGAAGGGAGAGGCGGGCGGGAGCGGCGCGGCCGGGAGCGACCCGCGGGGCTTTGCTGCCGCGTTTGGCACATAGCACAGGGACGCGGGAAGAAAAGGAACAGAGCGGCACCTCCGTGCCACGGCCCGTTAGAACAGGGTCCCCGGGTGCCGCCCGCTGTTCGCTTCGTTTTGCGGTCTGTTTATGGGCGCACGCCGAGCGCGGCTCTTCGGGAACCGCCGCGGCTGCCGGGAGCGGAGAGCTCGGGGCCCGGGGGAACCTCAGAGGAGCGGCCGCTTTGTTCGGCGCACGCAGCGCTCCGCCGTCACCGCCTGCTCTTCTCCAGCGGCCTCCTGAGAGTGCCGGGCGGCATTCGAGCACTGTGCGGGCACCGGGTGGTTCGTGGTCCTCCTCGTGCCGGGGAAAGGACGGAGCCGGGGTCTGCCAGTGCTTTGCCGTGTGCTAATTCCAACAAGTCTTCAAGGTCTGATTACTGAAACGGAGCACAGAACATACAAACGCCGTCGAGATTTTAATTTTTTTAATTTTTACTCTCACCCGTAATTCACGGTGCAAATGTGCCCTTTATGACAAAATGGTGATGATGCGGCAGGGCTGCCTGCAGCGGGGCCAGCGCTGAGGGATTGTGCGTGGCCTCTCCTGCTCCTTCTGCTTCCTCCCAAATGCGGAGCGGCCGAGAAGCAGAGAGAGCTCATTAAAAATAGTTAATAGGTTAATAGGCACCCGGGCTTATATTTCTCTAATGCAGAACGCCACTGCTTCGGTGATGTGGCTGTGAGGCGTTACAGGGAGCCAAGAGAATGAATCAGACGTTTAATGGAGATGTGGAAGCGGAAATCTCTGCTAGGGCTACAAAAATGAGAGCCAACAATACACTAAAATATAATAAAATTAGAATTAAAATTCCGCACACGAAGTGCCAACGTGTCTCCACTCTCGCTAGGCGCAAACTGAAGCAAAGCCCCAACGAATGGCCGGAGCCGGGACTTCGGCTGCGGTCCCCCTGCTCCATGTCCCCATCCCCGGGCGGCTCAGTCGGGACAGTGCCCTACGCGGGGCTTTGGGGAGCCCCTTCCTTAGCGACTCTCTCCCTCTCCACCCCCCCCCTCCCCCCCTTCCTGGGCGCTGCGCGGGAGCTGCAGCAGAAATCCTTTTTCCTTCTGTTGGTCCGGACTGACCCCTACTGGGGGAGAGCCGCGGAGCAGAGCGGGAGGGCCCCACACTGCGAGTGGAGCAAAGACTTTCTATAGCTTTTGTACGTTTATTGTGAGAAACTGTTACGGACTAACAAAAAAAAAAAAATTGAAAAATCGGAAACAAACAAACAGACGAACCAGCGTGGCTCCACTTTGGTTTCACGCGGACAGCAAAAATGTGTGGAAATGTGACTGGCCGTGCTGTTGCGCTTCTGTAGTCTCTTTGGCTCGATGGGAAAAACGTACGCACGGCGGGGGCACCTCGGGGCATCGGGCTCCATGGAAATGGGACCGCAGAGCTTTGCTCAGAAGCTGCTGGCACACGGTGCTCCCGGGGAGTCGGGGAACCGGAGATCGTTACATCGATGGTCCAAATGGGGACGGGAGGGAGGAAGTGGCGGCAGCTCTCGTTATGTGCATGTTTTTATGGCTTTTAGAAAACCACATTGCAGCATTTTCCGTCGCGTCCGAGGCTGACAGGGCTGCATTGATTAAAACATCCGATTCAGGTCATAAAGAAAATTCGCTCGCAGCAGCACAGTCCGTAAAGCCACGCTTTCTTAAGACGTCTCGCTCCCGTCGCTGCGGCGCGGAACGCAACACGAAGCCATCCGCTCCCTGCGCGTCCCCGACGCCGAGCGCGCCCGGTGCCGCCAGGGGCTGCTGTGCTGCCGGGAAGGGCGCAGCGCTCCGCGGGTACCGATCGCTCCGCTGGTGCCGATCCCGCCGCGGCTGTGGGAGGCGGTCACGGCCCTCGGCCTCGCACCGGAGGCACCGCCCGGCCCCCCAAACGCAGGGCTTCACGGGGTGGCCATCCGCAGCGTGGCTGTAGCTTTTGCCTTCCGTGCTTCCTGCAGGCTGCCCGCCGCTTACAGTGCGTACTCTTGGTGAGGCTCTGTCTGTCCCGTGAGATGAGACTGCTGGATGGCAGAAGTGAGTTATATTCCAGAAACGGCCAAAAATCAGGATGCACATAGCCTGGGTGGAAAGGCATAACCTGTCACTCAGTGTTCCACGCAGATGTTTGCGGTAAAACACCGGCTCTGCGTGGTTATACAGCCTGCAGTGCATGGGAATGTATGTGGGAAGGATGTGTTGCAAATGCATGGCGTGTTCAGGCAGCTGCAACAAGTTCCAGAGTGAATCTTGGAGGAAAACAGCAGTGGTTTGCCAAGCAGCCATCATGTCTGAAACATCTTTTGGGAAAAAGAAATGACGTCCTGGGAATCGTGGCATGGAAGGAAGATCT